GAAAATTGGTTTAAATCTTGTGAAAACCATTTTGTTTTTCACTTCTTAATACAATTTTCAACATAAAATGTGTTGGTTTCCAGGGCTTTTTGACTTCTCTTATTCCGCTACCCTCTTTATTAATGACAATATTAATTATATGCATGGGTTATCATTAATAATGTTTATTCATTGAAATTTTGTTTTAATTGTTAAAGTTTTATATCAAAATGTATTTAATATGCATCAATTCAAAAAATGGATTTAAAAAGCCTAACACATGTTCAATTCCTGAACTAAAATTTCACTTTTTGTATCTCTTTAACATAAAAATGTTTTTCAGTTTAGATTCATTAACGGTAATCAACCAAAAGACACAAAATGGAAATTAAATAATGTAGAAACATGTAATAATCCAATTGTATTCTTGAGATTGTGAAGTCAAAAGTAAGGTATAAACTCTCCTTGAGTTAAATACATTTTTTAAATTCTTTTATGTTGTGTGTGCTTTATTCTATATTTTGAACAATGTTTTTTTATCTTTTTAAAAATTGTTACTGTTTAAAATTAAGTTGGATGTTATCTTATTCTTTAGAGTTATAAACATGAAAAGAAGATATGAGCTTAATTAATTGCACTGGTAAAGTAAATGGTACATTTACAAACGGTAACTTTGTGAAAACAAGTTGTTGTTGTTGTTTTTTACCTAAAATTTTTAGTGTTATAAATAGAACTATTTATAAAAACAGATTTGCACACTCTGCATAGAAACAATTTGACAGGAAGGATCTATCAATGCAAATATAAGTGAAAGAATTGTAGGATATTGAATGTTCTGCAAAATTAAACTTTGCATGAACTTGCCCTTAGGGACCTTTGTTGTATAAATTTATTTGTGTGTATAGCATTCACATTTGTAATGTTTGAACTTTTATGTGCTACAGTTTCCTTCACAGTAGCACAACTGTCAGGACCTCCTCCCCTGCTGGGAGTTCCACCGGTACCTCCGCCTCATCTCACTTCTGCGCAGCCAGTTCCACCACAACTGCAGGCTCAACAACCACCACAAGCACCTCCGCCACAGATGCCACCTTCAGTGGCACAGGCACAGGCTCCACCACCTCCACAAGCACTTCTGGCGCAGCAAGTGCAGCTACCGCCCCCAGGTTTACACATCCCAACTCACCAGGGCCCTTTGGTGCCCCCACAGCAACCTCCACAGCAGGCGCCGCCCCCTCAGCCAACACAGTCTCCGCAGCAGCATCTGCAGGCAAGTTGGAACTAATGATATGATGAGGAATGAAGTGAGAGCCGTTAGAAAGGTGTATGTAGGGTGTATGGTGGGTAGGAGAGGAAGAGGTAGGTCTAGATTAAGATGCAATGATGGGGTAGAGGAAGAATAGAGAAACCTAGGTGTTAAAAGACGGTGAAGAAAAGCAGTAGATAGAAGAAATTTGGCTGTTATTTTAAAAAAAGACGAGGCAAAACTATGAGTGCCTGAGAGATCATAGAAATAGAAGAAGATATAATGGGCGTGATATGTTAAGTCACCTACCAATGCCATTCTAGTACCCAGAGATCACCTGTGGGAAGAGGGGTTAATGACGGCATGGCAAATGATTCAGTTTCTTTGGTAAATACCCGATAAGCACTGAAAGATGAAACAATGAAACAAAACCTCTTATCTAAACAAAATTGAGAGAGGAAAAATTCTGTGCTGGAGTCTGACATTGACTCTCTCCTCCCTCCCGTTGGTAATGACTAATCTTTTTCATTTCTAGATTCATGTTGAATTAATGTAGATCATACAACATATAAAGTGTAATAGGTATTCTGATGAATTGATGATATTACAAAAATGTACTATAACAAACTAATTACTGAAACCCCCCACTATCCACTATTGTTGCGTTATGCACCATTGTTGTTAATTTTAATTATGTTAACTTGGACTGAACTTAGCCCTTTGACTGTTTGACTGTTGGCTGGGCTATCCGGGACGGGTCGTGTCAATGTCATGGTGGCTAACGTTTCGGCCAGCATATTGTGGCCTTCTTCAGAGTGTATTGCTGCGTACATTGCTGCGGCTCGTCCCGGATAGCCCAGCCAACATAAACTCCGGCCGCGGAAGCCTACGCAACCTTAGCCCTTTGTCTGCTATGGGCATGCGAAGAGTGAGTTACACAGTTTGCACAATTCGTACAGTCTGAGTCATGTAACAGCAAGGCCTGAATTCGCAATGTGGCATCTGAACTGACTTCCTTCAGAAAAACCAACTTTTGAAACTATGAATCCAATGGCCCCCCGATAGATAGAATTCATACAATTGTTTGTAGTCATCTGTCAGGGTTAGGCTCTCGGTTGTTAAGTTAGGCTCTCTCCTTTTTGTTATTGATAATCCTTCTGTTTCGTCTTTAGATAGAGTGAAACTTCTCATCCGTTTACAAGTGTTAACTCAGTGTGCAACTAATCAAAATAAGATAACCATGTTTTGTAATAGAATTGAGTGTTTTGTGCAAATAAAATTATAACCTTAAAAGTTATCTCTTTAATAACTTCTTTGTTTATTACACATTTCAAATGGTAGTCTTAATAATGTATTTTAAGTGTTAACAATTTCTCGTGTTAACATTTGAAAATATCGAAAACAAAACAGGGGAAGGATTTAATAAAATGAGAAATTTTAGCAAATCGATATAATTAATTAGGTAGTTCATTCATACCTGACAGAGGCTTCCTCTGGTGGTCTTATTTATTCTGTGCATTCAAGTGTGTTTTTAAAATTTTTATTTATTATTATTATTATTATTATTATTATTATTATTATTACTATCGCTACTATTGTTATTATCGTTATTATTTTTAATAATATTCTTATGGTGTGGTGATGAGAGGTGAAAGGATTCGGAATGATTGTAGGTGGTGTTAGGTGGGGTAGTGAGAGGTGCGATGTGTTCGTGGGATTTTGGAACCTTCCCAGCATTCACATTGTGACGAACAGAAACCACAAAAAACCTGGTCATGATGGCCGGCCCGGGGATCGAACTCAAGACCTCTCGATTGCAAATCCAGTGCGCTACACACTGAGCCATTTCATTCGTTTTTATTAATTTAGCATCCATGTCCCATTAGAAGTTGAGTGAGATAATAATTTGCCCTGTTGTGCTTTCGACTAATCAACGATTCAACTGAAGGAATCAGTCGGACCACGTCCTGAAGGGGTGATGCAGGGAGGGCTCTCAAGTATTCCTTTCAACAATCATCTTGATTTTCCTCATCGTTCATTCTCCTTCTTTTATAACATTCTGTCTCTTTTCTTCTAACCCTTCTAGTTCACTGCACCCCCACCCCCATGCAGAAAGCCCACCCATGTGTTTGCCATGCATGGCGACCCGTGTCGAAGGGAAGGTGTGTCCTGGCAGTTGAAGGACCTGTTAGTTTTCCAATTACTCCTTGTGCTACTTTCTGCCTTGCACTTAGAGATATGTGTACATATTTTCGGGAACATTCCTTGTATGTTTCCAACACACTTGCTTTGGCCTCGGACTCTTCTGGACGGGCAGTCGGGAGCTAACGCACTCCGATCAATAGATCACAGATTCACAATAGATTTGTTGTTGATTATTATTCGCTGACCAACATCTATGGCGATTCCAATGAATATTCTTCACCAGCTTATCTTTCGAATACGATGAAGTCATTAATTATCTGTTCTAGAGTAAAGCTAAAAAATTGCAACTGCTTGCTCATCATTTTTAAATGGCCCTGCATTCGTTATTACTATTTCATACTCTCCAGTAAGTCATATGTATTTCACATTGTTTCACACAGATGAGTAAATTCTCACCAAGAACTCAGATACAGACAGCGACACGACCGCACTCGACCACTGCTGGAAGAAGACTGGGGAAGGTACTTTTACAGATATGGTGCAATTACGAGAAAGTAAAAAGAAGTTTTACAAACTGTACAAACAAACTAATAGATCTTATTATTTCGTTAAATTTTCCACTTTGCGATCTAGTGTGTCTTGTTTACAGCATGCCCTTTTCCAATCTTGTGTAGATAAGATTGAACTATCTGCTTGTATCGACCCTAAATTTCTTTGGAAGTTTATCAATCTCCCTACTAGGCACACTCAGTTACCTGGTGTTATACACTTGAGTACAAACTGCTGCAGTACTTATTCAGATATTGCCACCTGATTTTTTACTCATTTTTTCAATCAATATACAAACCACAATTTAAAAAACATTCCTACTACTATCCATGACTTTCAACATCATTCAATGGTCAGCAATATCAAATTCAAGTTTTCTGAAATTCTCCTTGCTCTTAAGTCGTTTGAATTCTGGTAAGAGTGCAGGATCAGATGAGATCCCCAATAGTTTTTTGAGCAATTGCAAATTTGCTCTGGCACCACCACTATATCTTTAACCTATCCTTGGACTTGAGGATTTTCTCCACAGCTTGGAAATATAGTATTGTTGCCCCTATATTCAAGAAAGGAAACAAAAGTGATATTTCAAATTATCGTCCTTTCCATTCTCAAAACGTTTTGAGAAACTTGTGGTTAATGCTTTGGCACCACACTTTTCCACAATTATTTCTGACTATCAACACGGTTTTACTCACAATAGATCTACTACAACTGATTTAGCTATATTTAAAAACTAAATTATGAAAGTGTTTGAAGTGTCTCAAGTTGATGCTGTGTACACAGATTTTGCCAAGGTTTCTGACCATGTTAATCATGACATATTGATTGACAAATTGTCATACTTAGGCATTAAAGATCCCCTCTTATCATGGATACTCTCATGTCTTTCCGGCAGATGCCAGTATGTTGTTGTTATTGGCCATGCGTCCGAGCTATTTGTAGTTAGTTCTGGCATACTTCAAGTCTCTCATCTAGGTCCAAGTTGGTTTAATACTGTCATAAATGATTTCCGAAATGAATTCTGTTTTCAAATATAGTAAAATCTTATTGTTTGCGGACAATGCCAAAATGTGTACCAAGATTACTGATGTTAATGATGCCTTCTGCTTACAGTAAAATCTATCTGCCTTCTCATGGTTGTGTTCTACACACAAAATGGAACTTAACACTGATAAGTGTTGTGCAATGTCCTTTATCTGGAGACATAATGTCATGAGCTTTCCATATTCATTAAATGGTGACTCCCTGAGTACTGTATCTAACATCAGGGATCTCGGAATGATTTTCAGCTCTAAACTTGATTTTAATATACATATTACTGTTTCAGTAAACAAAGCTCTGCGTTCCCTGGGTCTGATTTTGCGCAACACCAAATCCTTCCAGTTCACCGATAATTAATTCTTTATGAAACTTTGATTCAGCCTATTTTAGAATACGCCTCCTTCATTTGGTCACCTTACACTAAGATAAATTAATCTATTAATCATTTGGAAAAAGTACAAAGTAAATTCCTATGCCACCTAGCTTTTACAAACAGGTCACCAATTCATAGATTCAATCATGATCTTTCCAAATTCTACTATTTATTTAAATTGGAAACTCTTCAGAATAGGAGAAAATTCTATTATTCAATTTCCTTTCCTAAAACACTACATGGTCTCTTCGATTGCCCTGAATGTCTTTCTCTTATCATTCACATTCCTCATATTAGAATGACAAATCCAACCTGTTTCTGGGTGGATACATTTTACTAACTACAGCTATTATATCTTCAATTGATTACCTATAACTGCCAATTACTATGCTGATAGGATTGTTTTTTTCAATCATGACTAATAATTTTTGTAGCTGTTTTAAACTTCTTTTTCAATTCTGACACTACCTAAGTGTTTTGAAAGACATTTTTTTTTTACTCTCTTGATTCCAAATATATTATTTTATTAATTTGATATTTTGTACTTGTATGTATGTAATGATGAATGATTTTTTTTTCTTTTTGCAAAGGGTTCATCCTGTTTATTGAAAATAAATAAAATAATTTTTCGGCATCTTTCAGCAACTATAATATTATTGTAAAGATACAATGTTTTTTTTATGAATGTGTTCTTCAAATACAGATTTTCAAATAAGGTCAGGTTGAATTTTTCGAAAATATGAATATTTTTTGTATAATTTGGCGGCAAATATAGTTGCTTGCTCCGAATTTACTGCACTTAGTGAAAGTAATTCCAGACAGTTGGATGTTTCGTCAGTTAGAATTTGTTCATTATTTAACATTTCTTTGTTTCTTTTTTACATTCAAACTTTTGTTATGTGTTTATAAATTAATCTTTTAGAAATTATGTAAAAATTATTTTAAATTGCAGTCTTTAATTAAGGTAATTGGGAAATAAATAGATGATTTCACTTCGTATAATAAGATGTGGGAATGAAAGCCATTGTGTGCAAAAACCAAGTAACTTTTTTCTTCCCTTTCCAGCGATATCAACAATGCTAATAGGTAAAATGTGTATCCCCTATGAATTAGCTGTCATTGTTGCTTGTTGTAACATATTGTTGTATGCCTCACTGATAGCAGAAGATGATAATGACGAACGCCTATTGTTCGCGTTAATATAAACTAATAATTTTATTTACAGCTGAAATATGCATCGCACATCATTGATAGAACTTGAATACACTGAAATCAATAACAGAAAGGAGTCTGTTTTCATTTGAAGTGGAGAAAAAAGAAAGAAAAACAACAACATACTTTTCATGCTTCGTTTGTTTAAGAACTTTTCTGATGGTAATAGTGTACGAGGGAAATTGTCATAATATTACATAGCTATTAGCAATATCACGAGAAAGTACGTGCTGTTGTAGCCCCACTAGTTGAACTTGTCAGAGAGGGGTGGTTCCGTTTTTGACCATGGCACATCCAATCATCTGGAGTGTTTGCCAGAGACTTTATGCTGAGTGAACCATTTCTACTGAAATTTAGGTTTTAAAGGAACAAATAAATATTTTGAGCCAAATGTCAACCAAAATTTACATAAAATAGATTATCAAATTGTCTTCATTACACATAGGTAAATGACAAACATTGTACAAATAATGCAATAACAATAATTAAAAAATAAATAAGTAATATGATAATATAACAATAATGAAACAATAAAATTAAAATAAACAATTGGCATAACTGAAATCCATCAATAAACATTTCATAATTAAATAATGATAATTATAGGTAATAGACAAATGACAATAAGAAAAGAAAAAAATTAACTTTATCAAAATTATCTAAACAACATAACAGTTATAAAATAAGTAATGAAACAAAATAAAATTAACAAATGGCATAATATTAACTGAAATTCATGAAAACTAACTTTAATAGTAAAATAATTATATAACAATAATGAAACAATAAAATTATCTAAACAAACTCAAATAAAGAACGTGACATATTTTCAAAGAATAAATTGATTTGTTTTACTCCTTTCTTTACTATTTTGTGGTTAGCGCTTTATTTATATATGTCCAAAACAGTGAAAAACTGTTGTGACGTGCTTTGGGGAAAGGTTAATTTGAAGTTACATTTATGTAAGCAAAACAAGGGGACATCTCAGCATTTGCTTGAGGATCAAGGAAACTGGACGGAAACCTGATCGTGATGGGGGTCATTGGCCCAGATTACTTCATGTTCCATTCTTTTAATTTCATTTTTTTTAGTCATTAAAGTTGGTTCACTTAACTACGTTGACCTTCACAATCACACAGTACAATATTACATCCTTTTATTTAATATAGGTAGCATGCTGTTGTTTATATAATAACCACTGTTATTTTATGTCATTATTAATAAATTTTATTCACAATGTTTTGGGAACTCCTTTTTTTTCGATCATCAGGTATAAGCTAAAAAAATTCATAACATTTGATTATTTTAATTTGTTTTATATGACTATTCTAAGATATTTAATTATTCAATTTAGCTAAACTATTTTTTTAACATTAACTTATTCATTGCGAAATTCATCTAATTTTAATTAGAAAAGATGTCATTGCGTCATTAAATTTTTTTAAAAACATATAACATAACCTTTTTCTTTTTCATAATTTTTGGTATAAAATATTAATGTCATGCTCATCTTTGGTTCTGAGCATGATTTATCCTATGTAATGTTTCTGCCTGTCTTCATTCTTATTCGTCTTGAATGTCTTTTGCAGGCACGTTAAGGTGTTCATTGACAGAGGTCACGTCTAGTGTCTTACTGGGAGACGTAGGGGTTGAAAATCGATTCTCAGAGTTTCTATAATTTTGTGCTTTATAAGAACGTCTATATTTGTCCTGTTTTAGTGCATAAATTACAGTCTCGTATTTAGATGTCATTTGGTTAGTATCAGTTACCGTATTCATAGTTTTCTATAATTTGATATTCACTGTTTCAGAAAGTACTCTTGTTAACTTTTTTTTTTTTCTTTGTCGATATTTTTTTTGTTTTCTCAAAATTTATTAATGTTTTTTTGTTCAAATGTTATGTTTGTGATGGATCCTTTTTTTTTCTGTTATTTCCTTGATATTATTCTTATAGTCATTTATCTTTTTTTGTAGTTTTTCTTTTTGTTTGTTCTGTGTATTTCATGTCACAGTCATGGATTGTATTTGTAAAACATTTTTCGTAGTATTATGTATCTATTTTGTCTTTGTTATTTCTTTTCTCCTCCCTTCCTGTCCTCCATCTCATCTCCTCTCACTCCCTCTCCCCTCCCCCCTCCTCACCCCCTCTTCACTCTCTCTTTCTTCTCCCTCCTCTCCTCTCTCTTCTTTCCTTCTCTCTCTTCTTCTCTCTCTCCTGCTCCTCTCCTCCTTCTTTCCTTCCTCTGTTGAAGACCTACAAAATTGGGGAAATATTCGGGTTGAGACAATTAGGTTTTAAAGTGGGTGTCCAGGTGGGAAAGAAAAAGATACATGTTACAAATGTATCTTACAACAAAAACTATAAGTTAGGAGCATGGGGGGAAGGGATTTTAATCAGGGATGTTGTAGGATGTGGCAGTGTTTACTGCTCTTCAATCTGTCAGCTATTAAGGAGGAATAAATTATATGAATGTGGTTTTATTGCTGTCAGGTGTCATGCAACAACAACTCCAGCAGCAGCAGCAGCACATCAGCATCAGCAACATCAACATCAGTTGCAACTACAAGCTCAGCAACAACCAGGACAGCAGCAGCAGCAGCAACAACAGCAGCAACAACAGCAGCAACAGCCGCAGCAACAGCAGCAGCCCCCGCCACAGCAGCAACAGCCACCTCCTCCGCAGGGGCAAGCACAGCTGCTGCTGCAGCCGCCGCCAGTGGCCCATGCCCATGCCCATGCCCACGCTCATGCCCACGCCCAGACGCAGATGCTGCCCGGCCAGCCCGGGCTGGTGGTGGTGAGTGCCAGCCCACAAACAGTGATGGCCACCCAGCAGCAGCCTATGCACCCAGGTGAGTGGGGTGGAAAACTTCTTTGGTCTCATTGTTTTAATCGCAATTCTGACTGGATTGATATTGGTTAAGTTTCAGTTTCAATAGCATAAGCAGAAATGCTAATGAACTTGAAGTATTTTAGTTGCTAATGTTACTTTTGGTGTTCAAATCTAGATCTCAAACAGAAGAATGTTTAAAAGAAGAAAGAGAAACAGGCGGACTAGAACAATGTTTACGTACTGGCTTTCAATCCTGTGTCTCCAAAGTCTTGCATGATTTTCATTATTCAGCCCTAATTGTTCAGAGTGGTTCTTCCAAAATTCTGTATGGTACTTCTTTGATTTTAAGCTAATGAGATGCAAAAAATGTTATTGAATTAATAACTCAAAAAGTAAATTCATTTTACGTTTCAAAATAGAGTTTTCATTCCCATGCAGTTAGAAAGCTCAGAATTATTGGATGAATATTGTGCAAAATATTTAAATTCAGATGTGTTTAGAGTAGTATGCAAATATTTAAATGAACATAAGGCCAATTAATTAACAAAATTTTTATAATCTAATTTCTAAATGGAATAATGTTAAAAATGAAGGTAATTGAAGTATTAATTGATGGTTTTTCTGAAAATATTGTTATGTGTATAATTACATCATTTCCAAAATAATTCAGTCCGATTGCATTTTAACCCTTTTCCAGTTACTTTGTGGGATTAAAATTATACCCTTCATTGTAATCGTAGTTATTTCTTTCTTCTGTATTTGCAAATCTGACTTCTGCAATTTTATGGTTCTTTATAACATGCTAGAAATGTGTTGCTACCATTTGCTTCAGGTTCAGTCATTGTAGATGACTAGTTTGATCAGTTTTTTGACACCTAGAACGTTCTGACTCCCGCATGACTTGTTGCGTAATTTTCTTTGGGAGCATGCTCAACAGTCCAAAACTAGCTCCATTAGTCGTTTGAATGCAAATTATTTATATTTGTAAGGGACTCATAGAAAAGCCTGACTTAGATCCTTAAAAGCACAACTGTGAGATTTTCAAAAAGATTAATGCAAATTCATTCTGACGACTATTTGCCAGAATTGCTTAGAAATTATAAATAACAAGTAATAGGTTCAAACAGCATTTCTTTGACTAACTAAAGAGGTATTTTATTTTATTATAATCTTACAATGAGCAGATTTATCTGTGTAACAAAACATTTTCACATAAACTAAATTGATTTGACAATAATGAAATTAGAAAAAAACAACTAAGATACAATATATTACCATTCGCGCAAAGGAATAATTTTCCATTCAAAGTTACAATGTTTAATAAATAACCATTTGTACTTTGTATATTTAAGGATACCTGGTTTTTAAATAGTTTTGAAAACATAAATAGTTAATAGAAGCTCATAAAGTGATATACAATGATTCACAAATCTCGTTAATCATGGAATTGCCAAAGAATACATATACTCAGATCTACAATTACATTCTTACGATAATCTATTGCTTCTTATGTTAGATTGGTTAGCATATGGTATAAAAATATTGGATAATTCAACACTGTTCATATTGGCAGTTAAAACTTTGAATATGAATATTACATAATAAAATGTCTGAGAAATGTTTGAGTAATACATGGATTTGGATATTTTTTTCTACATATTGTACTCTTTCAACTTTTTTTAATAAGACACACAGTAATTGTAAATCATAGTGTCAAAATCTAAGTTTAGACTTCACTATATTATATACCTGTTAGTTTTTATTTCAAATACTTATGATAGATTTATGAACATTTATATTAAATGGTGAAAAATTGTGTGGAATTGGATTAAAAAGGATAGTTATGCAATTACATGCCACTGTACATGTGGATACATGCCACGTACATGCGGATGTAGAATTTATTTAACCTAACATGTATTAAAAATAGATCATGTGTAATACAAAAAATTTAAAATAAATTGTTTTTATGTATTTCTTGGAATTTCCATGGGGTCAGAATGTACTCAATGTGACTTAGGCATGGAATAATTTTTTAAGCATCTGCAATTAATTTGGTCACAGGATCACAGGGTCTTGCTCCTCCCACTGCTGTGCCACCACCTGGGAGCCAAGGCTTGCCTCCTGGTGCTTACGCAGCTGCAGCCGGTCAGCAGCTGTACTTGGCACAACTGCAGCAGCCCATGAGTGCTGCACCAGCTCAGCCTCAGCCTGTGCCCATGCCCGGGGGCCAGGGCCAGCCTGATGCTCTGCAGCCCCAGCCTGTGCCGGTGCCAGTGGCACAAGCTCCTCAGCAGCAACCTCAACCTCAGATGGCCCCTCATGCTCAGGCTTTGTCACAGCAGCCGCAGACCTTCATGGGCATGCCTAGCGGAGGACAGCCTGTGGCTATATCATACCCGTACCAAGTAAGTTCCATTCAAGTTCTTGTTCGCTTCAGAATTTCAGAAGTAGCATTTTCTAATGTAACCGTGTTACCAGCCAAGGTGGTTCAGGGCATCAACTGATCTCACTGCAGTGCCTCTGTTCAGGAGGTCCTTGTGTTTGGGGCTGGAGTGCTAAGATTGTCGACATTTGCTTGACAGCTAGGGTGAGTTCAGTCACTGTCTGGAGGAGAATTCTATTGTCTGGCTGCACTTATCAGTAGTTTTCCATGGTTTCTCTAGGCGATTGCTCGAGCAGTACCCTAACAAACAGGCCACGGTCCTTATCTTTCCTTCCTCTTGTCCCTGCTGGGGTGGTGCCAGACTAGTGAGAGATATCTAGTTGGGGAAAATCCCTGCAAGCCAACATATCGCTGTTCTATCTTCATTTTTGCTTTTTTAAAACTAAGTACATAGTCATATGCACATATTTTCATAATGAAAACTACTATGAATACGATCAATTTTTATATGTTCCATCTCCGCATTTACCAGTGTCTTTTGAGAATTGTTTTGTTCTATTCCTAACAAAGGTATTTGATTATTATATCACAAATTTCAAACATATGGTATGTTCAGGTCATCTCTCAGAAGGTGGCCTCACAGCAACTGGCTAAGTAGATACTTTCTCTTGTGGTTTCTTGATTGTTATGGTGGTACACTGGTAGAAACAATATGAATATACAAAACGAAAATATGTATTTATTTTGTAGAAATTGATGGAGTTACTTAAAAACTATGTTTGAGAAAACAGTGAACTTTTTCTACCTGAATACATTTCCAAGAATGCTGCAGGTAAGAGATGATGATACAAAAATATCCTAATGTATAAACGCTACTACTACATTTTATGTTTTGATCTCACAAATGTATTTCCTTTACCTCATGTACATGCAGCTAATTTTTACTACAAGAGAAAATGTAATGTTTATAACTTAAATGTCCACTCCTGACTATCACATATTATGTACTGTATTAAAAATTATTCAATTTGTTGTTATGGATCAGCCTGATATAAAAAGAATGGTAATGTGCATTGAAACTTGTCAGTACTTGCAGGCTCAGCCTAATGCGAGCGGACATATTGACTTGCTTGTAATTACTTGCTATTTTGTTTGTAAGCGCATAAATCGCTTCTATAGTCAATATGTCAGTGAAATTATGCTATTCTAAAACCAGTATAGTTTTTAATAGGGGACATGAAAGATCAAATAATGGGTTCAAAACTTCCGTCAAAAAACTGACTTTCCTCTTAAAGGGGACGCCTGGAAATTTGAGGAAAAAGAATGGCGTGGTAAACATTTCTCTACGCCAACTGCTTTAACACCACCTTAGGAGCCATTTAAAGCAAGTAATCTTCTAGATCTAATGAAAATATGTATTTGCATACAGATTGTCCAACACTGATCGAGGACACATGATCACATCTAAGAGGAAAGATTTCACTACTCTAAAGTTAGTTGCAGCGCTTGATAGGTGTTAACAAAGAATGAGAGATCCTGTGTTTATTCTCAAACTAGCATTGAGGCACTTGGACAAATACAGATGAATTTTCTGTAATCAAATACTCAATTCAAAGAATTTGTACAAATAAATAGAATAAGCGTGCGGAAGCCATAAAAGTTGATTTTCAAAACGAGGTAACAAACTTCACTGGGATGTAAAACTTCTGCCATCTTTAAGTGCTCAGAAATTAAAAGAAGAAAGTCTTCCGGACCCATGGATGACGCCAACCTCCAGGCAGCTATGGCTTGCATCGGCGATGACGGATCGGATGTCATCGGACTTCCGTATCGGACAATCGCGGACGACAATCGTAGGCGGGGCAAATCGAACTATGGCACGTGACCGCGTGCTTCCGTGCACTGATACTTGGCCAGTGGCATTCACGACCAGCGAGAATACTTCCCATTCTGGGAATTGTGTCTCCTTTCGCAAGAATATTCCAGTAAGTCAGCGTGAGAGCTCGACTTCCCTCCGCAAGAATGTTCGAATCAGTCAGAGCTGCTCTCCCGAATCATGAAGTGTGGTACCCCCCCCCTCTCCTCCAGTGAGAATCCTCCCGATACGTGCGATTGAATTTCGCGAAGCACGGTGGGGCGGGGCTTCGACCAATGCCGCGGGATCCCTTTTAACAGCTAAAATGTTCGTTGCGATGTTTTTGTGTCGTGGCCGGCGAAAAAATCGGCATGACCTACTTCGGACACGCACGTGCGCCGCGGTTCGTTGGGGTCATAAATCTGTCTCCCCCAAGTGTGCGCCATTAACGTCGGGTCTCTTTGACGATCGGTCGCGTGGGTGGGGAAAGCACCCTCTCGAGGATTCGGCGGGACCCGGTTGCTGATAAGGGCGCCCTCCCACGTCGCCACGGCGTTCGCGCTTCCTTCAAGCAACAGAGATCTTCCGACGCGGCCACCGCCGCAGCCACGGCCGCACCGCCGCCCGCCGTGGAAGAGGGTGGGGTCTGGAGGGGAAGGTTTCGCCGACCCTCCGGCGACGATGAAGAAAGGGACCGGGGCAGGTAGAACGCAACGACCGACGGCCGCAGTGGGAAGGCTCCCATGTAAAGCCGTGTTCTGCTAGCGGTGGCGCGTGCCCCCTCCTCCGCTTCGCGTGGCTGAAGTTCGACGTCGGCTGCCGCAGCAGCCGCCACCCGCTGCACATGGGAAGGCCTGCATTCAAACCAATGCTCTACTACGCGCCGCGCTGCTCGGAAGCGCACCGCCGTCGCGCCGTGGGAAGGGGCCTTAAAGGGCTCCCTTCTCCCCAAACTGAGCGGGGTTGTCCTGCCATAAAACGTCATAAATACCCCTCACTTGAATAGCAGAAGGGACGCGGGTCAGGTACCTCCCTCTCCTCCAGTGGTGGCATTGCTGCAAATTTTATTCATGGAAATTCTACATTGTATCAGCTCATACTGTTACAATTCAAACTAATAGAAACACTCAAAGGCTTAGGCAAACAGACAAGAGGTTCTTTTCACATTCTTCAAGTAAAAGACAAGAACGCAATATTCATCTAATGGTAAAATAATAATTAAGTGACCATGGGCAGCATTGGGCAAGATGTAAATCTTTTCAGTTATGAAAGGTTGTAAATGTGTTTTTATTGACCTTTTTAAGCACTTTTAACTGCAGACCATATGTACTTTGAGTAACAATAGTGGGTGCAGTATGTCAATGCCCAGCATTTGATATATCAAACACACCAAAAAGGCCCAAAATAATGGATAAAAAGATTTTGATGTTTGATCTATATATTTCAGCATGTAATTATGTTATGCATGTAATTATGTTAAAATATAATCATTGTATGCGATAAAAAAATATTGTGGGCCATTATAGGTTAACAAACATGCTAGAGTTTTAAAGCAGGCCTTGCAAATAATAATGATCGAGAAAGGATTTTTATGGCTTTCAGAGTTCTTAAAATTTTATAATTTTCAAGAGTTTTTTACTCCCAGGTTCGAAAACATTACTTAACTTCTAATGAGCTGTTTAATATTAATTATAACACTGATTTTTCTGTGGTAATTTCTCAGTTGTCAATTTATTAAAAAGCCAAATAAGAGTTAGACAACTTAATTCCTCATAAATTCCATGGTGGTAGTAGACATCTTGTGGTAATCCATAATATGGTAAAGGAAATAATTGTTTATGACTACCCTTTCTACTCTTCTGTGCCACCTTCAACGATAAAAACATACACTACTGTTACTGGACTTTAAAGCTATGGAGTAAATCAGTTGTGTATAAAAGTTAATTGTTCTACCATATTTGTGTTTTCCAACATTTTCGTGCATTATCTTATTTCCATGCAAAATTTATTTCATTTACAGTTTTTAAACATTTCTATCAGAATATTTTCCAGAATACTTTTTTGTACGTATGATTTTTGTATGTACAATACTTGTTTGTACGTTTGTATGTACAATTAGTTTTTGTACAAATATGAAGATAGTTCAAAACAATTCTAAATATACATGAATAACATTATTAATATTGTTCTATCTTATTTTTCATTTTATTAATTGCAAGTCATATTCGTTTATCAATGATAAACATAAATTGTGACTGCACACATCTTAAAGGTTAGTGGAGGCCAATACAATGACATGCAAAGAATGCAGTGGTAGAATTTTTCATATCTTTGAATGCTTATATCTCAAAAGCAATGCTTGTGGACTTCATACAAACCAATTCTCAGCTTGCAATATGTCGGTGCTGGATCTCCCCATGTAGCAGGGGTAGATCACCGCCACCTTCAACGATAAAAACATACACTACTGTTACTGGGCTAATGACCGTAGCAGTTGATGTCTCAAGAAACACTAATCAGTCAGTCAATTTTACCAAGTTGGATATACAGCTTTGTGTTAATTGTTACTTTTAAAGATTTGTTGTTGTTCCTACAGCTCCATTCATCGGAATGTCTTGTAAATAGAAACTGTGGTATAGAAGACCTTGCTGAATTTCATACATGTCATTTGCTTCTTGTTTATTCTCACAGTGATTTAAATACAAATCTTGTCAGTTACATGAAGTTTTATTATTCCATAGTTGGTTCATTTTAAAGAAACTTAAATTCTTAATACTGTCTTTCTTAGTATTATATAATAGTAATGGCAGTAATCATCACTGGGTATTTATCAGAATAATGTAATTCTATCTAAAGTGTTTGATGGAAGAATTTGTTTTTGAAATCCTCAGGACGCCTTACCTTGCCCTACCCCGGCTCGGTCCAGGTCCCACCACTTTATCCCACTCCACTTTTCTCTGCTGGGCTTTGCCCCTTCCACTTCACCACCTTCCTGCAGGCTTGCCTTTACACCCAAATTTCTCCTTTCCCTCCAGTCCTCCGTCCTTTTTATGACCATTGATTTTTAAACATTTTAAATACTACATTCCCCTAGACTTAAAGATAAACGTAAAATTTTATTGCTCTGTGTACAAAACTATAGAACTTTATTATGTCCATACATTTTGAGAAGAGATATTCACTCTTAACTAAAGTCTGCCTTAAAACTTTGTTTTCAAAGTATATTCAGAACTCTGCACCTCCTGTGGTGAGTTATCCAGCTGCATTTGGCCGCTTGGATCAGCAGCCAACATTGACCCAACTGCAGCCTCCTCCAGGACAACAGGGCCCCCCTCCAGGCACTCACATGCAGAGCCTCCAACCTCCACCAGTACAGCCTCAGGGGCTGCCTCCTGGCCAGTTGCAGGAGCAGCAACATTGGCAGGGCCAGCCTCTGCAGTTGCAGCCACAGGTACTATCATCTGCTTTAGCAGTATGTCCACAAATCTCAAAATAATAGAATAGTGTAGTAAAATTAGAGGGTTATGCGGGGAGTGCTACAACAGCATGTACTTTCTCGCATTGTTACTCAATTAACAATTTTTGAAAACTTAGATAATTCATTGATCCATGACATTCTTTTAATCATCCCTTCTATCTGTGGAAAAAATTTGGAGCAGTTTTTGAGAAAATGTTGTTTTTTTTTATAAATTTCAAATTCAAATTACATGAAAACTACTAATTTTTTCAAGCAATTGTACCTGACATTTTTTTAAGTCCTGATTTTTTACAACATACTTTGTATAAGGAAAAATCTTTATCATCAATTGTGTAGTTGTGAAACCAAACCATATTGTGAAAAACTTGTAACCATTTTCAAAAATAGGGTTCGGTGAAAATGGGACTTGCATCAAATTTTTTACTGTTCTCTGATAAATAGGAGGAGAAAAATTGAAATAAAACACTTGGTGCTGATTTAGAGGAAAAAATTGTTTAAAATTATTTTAAAATTGCCTATATTTCACGCAAGATTACTCTAAAACCATTCACATTAACGAAAAATTGTTTATGATCTTATTTCGAGATCCGTTGTTAAGAAACAACTTCAGAAGCATTGGTTCTAGTGGTTCACAAGTGTTTGTGGAACAAGCACACACATCCACTCATACAACCATTTTTATGTATTTAAATCTCTTAAAAACCCTTTTCCCCCCTTTTCAGATGCAACAAGGAGCATCTCTTTTCCAGCAAGGCACTCCCTTGCAGGTTACAGCTCCTGCTGCTGCTGCTGCTGCAGCAGCTGCTGCTGCTGCTGCAGCTGCTGCTGCTGGTCTTCAGTTAAAACAACAGGGGCAACCAGCTCAGGTGAAGCTCATTGTAAAGCACTATGAGGAGTGCATTGTAGTTCTCTTTCTTCATGTGAAAAAGGAAAGAAAATTGTATTTCAACTGAAAATTTTAATTGGAAATTAAATATACACAATTTTAGTAGATAATGAAAAATTAGTGATAGAAAACATAATAATTGAGAAAGCACAGTAAATTTTCACATTGTTTCATAATTTTCACATTACCCCATATTCAGTTGGAAAGCAGTCTCACATGTTACCATACAACTTCTGAAACTATTTCTAGATAGTGATACTCTGGGATGATCATGTGGGTTTTCTGAGAATATCTAGTTCTTAATAGTACTTACTGGTGAGAAAAGTTCATTGAATGTTTCTTATAAGCAAAAGTAACAATATTAATTTTAAAAAATATCAATAAAAATAAATAGTTTTTAAGTTTTAAATTTTTCAACTGGTTATTAGGAAACATTTATGGTTTGTTTTGTGTGTGTGTGTCTGTGAGGGTGGGGGTGTGCGTGCATGTTGATAAAACCAAGAATATGCTGTTTATACTAAAATTAATAGAATTCACAAATTTCTGATTTAAAAAAAATGTTTCTCTTTACATTTTTAAGGTTTCACCTTTACATCACCAAAGCAGTCTTCAACAACAGCAAACACAGCAGTCACAAACACAGCAGCCACAAACACAGCAGCCACAAACTCAGCAGCAGCAAACTCAGCAACAACAAACACAACAGCAGCAACAACATCAACAGCAGCAGCAACAACATCAACAGCAGCAGCAGCAACAACAACAACAGCAGCAGCAACAACAGCAGCAGCAACAGCATCAACAGCAACTCCAAAGTCCATCACAACATCAGCAACCAACACAATCCCAGCAGATGAACAAGGGTTCGCAGAAAAGACGTTTCACTGAGGACCGTGATGAGCAACCAGATGGTTTCCAGGTAATAAAACTCGAATATGCCTAGGAATTCAAGGGGTTTTCAATAAGTAATGTAACCATTTTTTTCTGATGTGGCAACACTACAGTGCGTTCTAACCTGCTGGGCTGAGTGAAGGGGTGTTCTAGCTTTAAAATGCGCCCAGACTGTTATCTTCAAGCTGCCAGTGTGTCAGGAAGTCTGATCTTACGAACTCCATTTTGATGTGATTTAACATAACATGATGGTTCATTCTGTGGAACAATGTGCCATCAATTTATCCATTAAACTTGGCTCCCTTCTCAGGCCACAATGTTTTTTGACATTGCATTCTATTCTGCATTTACAGGATACATTCTGAAATTTGTACATCCAGTCTAATTACATTTATGCTATAGAGAAAACCAATTATAACCCAGCATGAAATGTTATGTTTTGTAATATGCAATACAGTTTTCAATATATCTGTTCCATACAGCAGAAACATAAGAACAAATTTATCTGTCTGTAAGCGAAGGGAAGGCTTCTGTAGACTGTGGACTTCTCATTGCATCGAAGGAATATCATAATTTCAGAAAATCAATTTCTGCTCATTGACTCCTTACAGAAAGGCAATCTCTAGAATTCAGACAACAGACAATGGATATCTGTATTTCTACATCCAATCACTCCTCAAGCATGAATTATTGCAAGAAATGCTTCCAGTTCTGCTACTGACAAAGACTAATTATTGTTTCCAAGCACCCTATGGACCTCAGCAGTAGTACATTTCAGAATGTGGTTCATAATTGTGTTGTCAATGAACAGTTTCTAAGTGCTGCAAGTCCATTCTTCATTGACATTTTTTTTGCTTGCGGCATTGGTCCTAGAGTATCTTTTGATTCCAAGTGAACATGAATTTGGCAAAACTTCCAGAATGTTCCATCAAGAGCAACATGTTCCTGGACTGACATTGATGCCATGGATACACTTGATGATGATGATGAAGAAGAAGTAATCGACGTTTGAAAACCACAATGATTTCCACTTAGGTTGCATTCTTCTGCGTCAGTAACATGTACTGTATTTCTTTCACTACTTGCAATACCTTCATCACTACCAGAAGATTCTTTGCTTAATCAGGAACAAATCAGAATCATCAGACAAGAGCTCACCACCATCTGAAATGTCTTCTCTAATATTTTTGAGCACTTCAACAGTCTCCTTTTCAGATAAACCCTTTCGATACATTCTAGACACCCAAATGAACACTAAATGGATAGCATGTTGATGGCACTGCCATCTACTGTGTAGATAGTTGAGCAGGTCTGCCAAACTTTACGATAATGAAACAACGTGGAACACGATCTGTGTAAAAGACTGAAATTATTGTGGACTTGAGGTGATTGAGAAAAGCTTGTATTTTCAAACAGTGCTTTAAGAAATTATTTTTCTAATAATGCTTATGTAATTGAATGAGCTATTGTTCAGTAACAATCATAGTAAAAACACATTTCTGACAAGTCAAAAAACAAAATAATGTTACTCAATCGAAAGTGGTCGTATTGATCCCTATGGGCGCTGAAGATCAATGTTATCTTACTAAAAAATGTGCAAACGTGGAGCACTGATTTTTTCATGTCATAAGAATTTAGATGAAATGAATAAAAGTTATTTCAGATAGCTTTACATCATTTATCAAAAGAGCACTATTAATTTTAAAATTCACAAAAGGCGAAATTGACCCTTGTGGTCATGCTAGTGTTGAGTAACATTATACAAAGATCATGTGAACTAGAAAATGATTTTTGTCATTTGGATTCAAATATGAGAAAGAAAAAACACACTAGTGTTAACATTTTCAATATGCTTTCTTAAACTGTTTTAGAAAGAAAGGCTGCTGTGATGTTTTTGCCAACTCCTTTATACTTGGCAGAATACTAACAGTGTGTTATTTGGACATTTTAATATTAAAAAACTACCAGCAAATAAAAGCAAAACAAAATCAGTTTCATACAGCATAAAGAAATACTAATTATAGATGTGGTTGCATAGGCTTCTGCGGCTGGAGTTTGTGTTGTCTAGGTTATCAGGGATGAGCTGCGTCACTAACATGGTGACTGAGGGGAAGGCCACAATAAGCTGGCCGAAACGTTTGCCACCATGTCAAGGATGCGGCTCGTCCCTGAAAACTTAGACAACACAAACTATAGGTATGTTTAAAATTGCACGTGTACGGAGCAAAAATATATGTGCTTCATACAAGTAATGTCTGGACTTAATAATCATAGTAATAAATAATAAATAAAATTAAAAATTGCTTTACAAATATTTTGTATGATTGTTTGAACTATATAGGTTTGATATAATATAAAAATAATAATCAATATTATTTATTTATTAAAATAATAATCTGTTTAATGTTATGTTTTTTAATAGTTGTAATGTTACTCTGCATGTGGTTTGAAGGAAAAAGTGAAAATAGGGGTTAGGAGGAAAGAAAATTAACTTGTGAAAACATCACATCAATGGACAACGTTATTGACGTTTCCATTAAATTGATATTGAAAGTATAATAGGCAAAGTATGCATGCATCGGTGGTATAAAATTTACTAAAATTGAATGTAATGTGCAATTTCAGATGAATCGGACTGTGGGCTTAAATCAGAATTCTACATCAGGCAATCCTGGCTCTCCAGGCCAACAACGCCAAGGGGTTGGGTAAGTCAGTCTCTTATTTTTCTGCTAAAAATACTTCTACTATTGCTTATATCAAAATTCATTTGTTAAGATACTCTCATTTCTTACACTCTTGTTACAGGAGGTTCATGTGCTATTCATTTGTGGTCTGTCTTTTCCAGGTGCAGATAATTGAATTTAATGTTATTGAGTTCAAAAATCTTATTATTTGAGTACTTATTTCTTTCTTGGGAATACACCTGTATTATCCTTGCAACCTCTGCCTATAATTTGCTTGAAACTTTATTTGTTCTTACAGTCTCTTGCAGAGTCTGCATTTTTATTATTTACATCTTTGATTCTTTTATAAACTTCCATTTATGTTATGTTTCTTAGGGTTAGAATGCATCGTTAACATTCTTTTAATAATTAATGTAATGTTTTATTCTTGTGTTTGTAATACGATAATTCAACATATGTTTATATAACATATTTTTGTGACTATTGCTCTTATTGAGGTTCATTTAATTTGTGATAATGTTCCATGCCCTCAAGAATATTAATTAGTGTATCGACAGTAGAATAATTATGATTACCAGAGCTAAGTTAGGAATCAGATTGTCATGTTTATGCTTATATATTAAATAATTATAACCCTTTTTCATGTTTCAAGTGTTTCCAATATTATGAAAAAGAAGTTTCAATGAATGCATTATGTTTATTGTATTCTCTATTGAAAAGATAGTTTTTTAATATGAAAATAATTTATAAACACTGCAGTGTTGTATATATTTTCTTGGAATTTACCTCTCTTGTAACTATGTCAAAGTTGCTTGAAATTACAGAGATTTTTATGTAGTTAACATTTCTTATTTTTTATATATGATATTAAGAGTAGAGTTCTGAAAGTTAAGATAACATGTAATTATATTTTTATTAACACATATGTATTTTGTTAACAAATATTTGCCAGAATATTAACTAAAAATAGTTCCTTTTTTTAAAATATTTTTCATTTAAGAGTATGTGACCATTGTTTGTTTCTAGAAAATCAGCCATGAATATCATTGCCCCCTTTTCCTTCTTTCATTCCTTTTCCTCTTCCAATATGTTATATGAAACTCGATCTTTTGACTGAGTTTCATATATGTATTGTATTGAAATTGGTGAAGGGTGTTATACTTTTTGGCAATTTTCATAAGTTTAATTAATGATACCTGTATTTTCTGTTGCTTGTCAGTACATACAATTTTTATTTACTTTAATGTGAAATGTTGCTCTGTTTGCACTTTTAATTTATTATTGAAGATTATTATTTAAAACATACTTTATTTACAAGAATATATAAACAATCATTACATTCGTCAGAATTGGAAATAATTTTTAATCTACTCAGCCAGATTGTTGCGAAAATGCAATGCAGTAATTTTCTTTTATATTTGCAGTGTTTAAGCACTTTATAACCACTCGTAAATGATTTGATTATCTACTAAACAAAAGACATTGGCATCTGTCTGAAACATCTGTAGTTTCAAATTAAATAATTTAATAAATTATATTTCAAAAACTATTTATGCATTGCCTTTTGAATTTATATTTTCTTGTTTGCTCGTAATGCATTCATACTTCTAGGATAGAGGTAACTTGCATAGTAGTAGCTCCTACAATTTGCATGTATTCATGTGAAAACTTCTGTAAGAGTGAAATTCTCTGATGATTATTTTCATTTTTCCAGGACTTACATACAAATACTCATTTTTACAATTTGCCTGATTGAACTTTGATTTTTGATCACATGAATGCAGCCCAAATAGTCACAAAAATATTTCTATGGTTCTCAAATTAATGAAAGTTCATTGTTTTAGTAATAAAACAATCATGTATGTTTTAGCCAAATGTCAAAAATTTGAATCTATTCTTTGTATGTAGGTGAAAATTTGAAAAGTTATCTAAAGAACAATCATGTCAGTTAAATAATTAAATTATGTATTTAATGACCTGTCTTTATTTTCAGTTTTCCAGATTAAGTTAAAAAAATTGGCAGTAGTTACATCAACCAGATATCTACCCCTGAGATAAAAAAGCTTCTGAGATGCAATTCTTTTCTCACAGCTCATTAGTTTTCTGGAATTTTGTGTAAGAGAGTTTGTGCCAAATTCATATGATCATCTTCCCCTCAGTGTGGAGGAATTGATGCAGCTTAGCCAACCACGACAGCCACATCAACAAGGTAGTCCGCAGCAGCAACAATCACCACAACAGCAGCAGCCGCATCAACATCAGCAGACACAGTCGCAGCCTCAACAGCAGCAGCAACAGCAACAGCAACAACAGCAACAACAACAACAACAACCACCACCACCACCACCACAACAGGCCCAAACTCAAGCTTCGGCAACTGGCACGAGTGGGTCCCAAGCTACTGGAGTTCCTGCACCAGCCAACACCCGAGACAAGCAGCTCATGCCTCCGCCCCCCCCACCTCCGTCCTCTTCAGGTTGGTAGCCCTGCCCCATCAGCAGCTGCCTGGGCCCATTCATCTGATCTGTCCTGCCCACCTGGGGCTGCTCAATAACAATTGCAATTTTTGTTTTCCAAGATTTCTGTGAAACTGGTAATTCTACAGGCCATTGAATGTTTCCTCTTGAGGTAAATTGTAGACACTAATTATATGTGCTTATTCAATCTGCAAGGACATATCAAGCAGCGGAGGCAACACATCTACAGCCGACAGAACCGTAATGTATGTACAAATACCTGAAAACCTTGCTAATCTACTCTGAATAAAATGTACAACTCTAGTTGAAATGAGAAGATTAATACAGTGCTGGAAGTAGGTCATATTGCTCATATTTAGTTATATATTTTTAAGATAGTTCTTTATTTTTGTGTATTTATTTAATTTAATTTTAAGATTTTTTAAATTTAATTGTAAGTAAATGTGCGTTACTTCAAAAATATGAGCCACATAAAATTTTGAAAAATCTAGTCCAAATTCAAATTAACATAACTTCCACAGTTTCAATCCAAAATAAATTGAAAAGAAAAGTTAGGACTGTTCTCGTTGTAATGGTTTAGAAGAAAAATTAATCTACTGTTTGTATCCCCTTTGTAACAAATATGTTATTTTAATGTAATAATCTTGAATTTTATTGCTCATTATGGACATAATTTCAATGAAACTTGGTAAATCTGTTAACAGGCTTTAATCAATTTGTGTACAAGTCCAATTCTGTCCCACTCTACAGCTTATGTATGGCATAAACATACTGCCAAATGATACATGAGAAAATATTCCATCCCCAAGCTGTCATTAAATGTGTGCAGACATTACCCAGAACAACAACATATCTAAACGAAATGAAAATGTCATGTTTTCAATGTTTATTTTCATATTTTCAGTCATTTTTTTCTTACAACTAAGATACCAATTATAAGTAGTTTCTTGATCCTTAAAGTGTACATAGCTCACTTTTATAAGGAGTACACATCCAGTTTTGAAAGTACAATAACAATATGTATGAGTGAAGTGATCACTTGCAGCACTTGAATACGACTATACCGCTTGACTGACAAAATGGCTGTGATATGTGTATATTGATAAGTGGTTGGTAAGTAGTTGTTGAAATAGACCACTGGTCTGAGTCAGTGCAGAACGTTTGTCAAAATTTTTAAAAGCCCTTCTCTAGCACATTTGAATTGCCATAACATGGTACAATCTAGATGCAAGCAATAATTGTCTGTATTGAAAAACTGACATTTCTTTTTCTTTTCTTGATAAAAACGAAAATCAAAAATTTTTGAAAGGTTTGTTTTACCAAGGTTAGCAAGGTTTTATTATGTATGTGATTGCTTAAGGCTTGATAAGACATTGAAGAGGGACGGAGGGGCTCTCCATCTTGAGGTTGGTAAGCTGTCCAGCCATGCAGCCACTGCCCTGGCCCACTCTGCCTGTCTGCTTAGCTGATGCATTAACTTTGCATTTTTGTATTCAGATGCTTGAGGAGGATTCATGGGAAGACAAATGTAGCTGTTGAGGTAAACATTAACCTAGTGATTTTGAACTGATTTTTCTTCAGAATTTATGAGAGATTCAAAATTAGTGGAACATAATTAAAGAATCAAATTTTACTTTTTAAATTCTTTGCTAATATATGGGAACATTTTCAAGTCCTCATTTCTATCCCAAGCCAATTTGCCAAAATATATAATTTGATTAAATTAGGTAGAATTCAGTGATCATTGTTTCAAGTAGGATCTTATTTTAATTCATTCCACTTAGAAGACTGCCACCTACAGAATGTTCAGAATTACTGAAATTTTGTTTGTGAATTTTCTCCCAAATTAACAGTTTGTTCTACTTAATTTTTTTTTTTTTAATTACATAATAACTCCTCTAAGTATTTTTTTTTCTTTATTAATAGTACGATGCAAATACTTACTTATGAAGTCTAGTTTATTGCAACTTAAAATTATTTTATCTAAATTTAATACCCATCTTATCTTATCTCATATGGGGAGTTAGATTTGTAATTATGCAAACAGTGAATTTACTTACTAAAAGTATTGATTTGAAAGTGGATTTGAAAAATATATTTTTCAATTGTTGCAGCTCGTTATAAAAAAAATGTTTCTAGTAAGAATTTTATCATTGTTAAAAATAGTTTGTATAAAATTAAAAGGTACAAAAAATTCAACTTTGCAGTGAAGCTACTTGAACTTAGATTATAATACGTGTAAAGTTTAAAATCATTAGGTAAACACTAATTTTCATCTTGTTTACTTAATAGAAGTCTATTATTTAGTTTGAAGTCCAAAAGCCGATACTGCAAAGCAATCAACCAGCAAAACTGTAAGCTGTTTCAGTTATATGTCTTGATTTAATGTTTTGTAATACTCAGTAAAAAGACTGAAAGCAAGCTTTTTAAATGCTACTCATCTTTGTTGATATGCATTGCCTGTGTAAGAAGAGCATAGCATTACTCCCTTCAGTATTTATAAGATGCCATGATGAAGTTCTGTATTCATTATGCAATTTTCCAATGATGGAGTCAGGAGTTTCCTCTTCAGCTCATTGTAGTTGGCTCTTGCATGAGCTTGTCATGAGTCGTTGAAGAAACCAGTTGCTTAACAGTGATGATTTGAATGTGCTTTTTTTGTGAAAATCCATAATATTGAAATTGCACTTCTGACATTAGCATGAAACATAAGATGTGCTATTTCATGACTTAAAAATGGAAAAACAGGAAAATTCATAGTACTCAATAAATTTCTTTCTTTAGGCGAGAGCAAGAAATAGAATGTCTTTTGCTTTGTATTGCATCATTTATGTCACTCATATTGTGTTTAATCTATGATAAGTTGTGTATGTGTGTGGGGAGTTGCATGCACTAGAATCCAGTGATAATTCTCCGAGAGAGATCGTGTGCCATTTACTCATTTGACTGTTTTTATTATTAGCCACAGAATTTTATCTAAAGAAGTTTAAGAAATTTATAATATGTGTTAACAATATTAATGTGTCATTTAACATTTAATAAATACTTTAACACATTGATCTGCCAGACTATACTACGGGTGATGGAACTTTGGGATTGACAGTTTGTCAACATCTCTACATTTCCATGGCAATGGCTGACACTTGGCCAATTGGATATGAGATACATCAGCTTCTACTGATCTGCATTGCTGATGGTATGTTAATTTCCGCACATGTGCAACCAGTGATGTCATGGATCACCACATCAAGTGCCTTGAGCTTGTATTGATCTATAAAGGCTTCTTCAACCAAAAACAGTGATTGAAGATTGTCAATGAAGGTCCTATCAAATCCAAAATTCTTTCAGCTGTGCGACTGTTTGTGTGTTTTTCTACTCTGTACCTGCTAGCTGTCAATACTAAAAGATCTCCCAAAGTTTAAGACACCATCAAAATCCAAAACCTTTTAAATATTAGTCTGAGCAATTCAGCTTATCTCTTGTTGAAATGATACATGAATAAATGTATATTGAGTAAGTGAAGAAAGCATAAAGAATATTGGGATACAATGGCCAAAAATACTGACTTACTATGAAGTATCCTAATGGGAGATAATAGGAGCGCTTCAGAATGACACAAACTTTCTCGTAGTTCAATTCCTAATTTCTACGATCTTCAAAGAATTTTTAAAACCTCTATGTTGCTATTTTTCAAACTGGCAACACCTGAAATGTAGTGTGCAAAAATCAAATTTTCAATGCCAAACATTTTTTGCAATTTTTAAACATGCAGAGTGCACCGAAAATAGAACCATCACCACTATCTTTACAGTTCTTTGCTACATACTAGGATAAAAATAAAAAACAAAATTTGAAGCCGATTCTGATAAAAAAAATGTTATGCAATAAATTTCTGATATTATTTTAACCATTTAAAATGGTTTTAAAAGCGCCAATATTTCATCTAAAACTACGCAAAAAATACTCATATTTTCTAAACATTGAAGGTGACCTCTTTTGAAGAATTGTTTTTGATGAACACATTTCATTACGAAGAAAATGTTGTCTTCAAAAATGTAGTTGTAGGAAGATGCTGAAAAAAGTTTTCATTTTTGCAGTTTTTGAAATATGTAAGTTTTCAACAAACATGATACTTGCTAGAACTTCTCTGAAACATCCTTCACGCTATCCAACAACAAAATATAATCTAAAACGGAGCTATTTTTTAAAATGGTCCAGAAACTTCATGTAAAGTACCCCCCAAAATTTAAATATTTATTTCAAATTCAAGGGGCTGTGACGTCCACCAGATTATCAAGGGAATATCAGTTTTGGAGAAAATCGGGTGAACAGTTTAACTGCTAGCGTTGTTCATGGATCGATAAACAGACACACGTTTTGCCTTAAGAAGTACCGTCTAAAGGGCGAAAAAGTAAAAGGAATCTCAATCTCCACTGCTATTATATTTATAAGAATCCAAAAAATATGTGAATTTTTGTAGTTTTCGAAAAATCAGGGATGTTAATTATAATTAGGCCTGAACCATTCTCATTAACATTCTTCGCATTATTCAACAACCAAATTTTATGAAAAAAATTTAGAGCAATTTTTTGAGAAATGTTTGCTCTGGAAGTTACTGAAAAAAATAAAGTTCCACTCTTTTATGATGACGCAAATCCTTGTTTGTTCGGGGTTTGTGCAGTCCTGCCTACAGTGAGAATCTCCACCAAGGGAACAAGCACTTCGAAGTGCTTGTGCTCCAATTCAGAGTAGCGAAACACAGCGAATGTCATTGTCCTTGACAAGCCAGCAATGCCGCGCATCCCGGCAAACAGAAACCCAATGTGATGCCAATATGTGCCCGCAGCAAGCAAGTATAGATGACATTCTGTGCCAATCTTCAATAATTTTTATCACAGACATACGAGTGTATGAGGGTTTTGTTGAATGCGTGTGTACACTTTGGTAAGCCATCGTACTAATTTTAGATCATAATCCATACCGATGTCGTCAGGCGAATTGGAAAAACAAAATTGCTTTCAACTATCAGCGTTTTCGTTCGCCATCATGGCTCAGAGTGAAACCAGTGATGGTTGATTTAAATTTTTGTAATTGATGAGCAAATCATTGCCTTTAGGGCCGTTCAAAGCCCTCTCCCTAAATACAGTGGTATTATATGTTGTCAGTGGGTGCATATGCTGAAGATAATGTGCGTCGAAATGGTGGAATTTTTTAAAATTAAAGCCAAATATAACATTAGAAATTTAAAAAAATTAAATTGAATTGCAATACTCGAACTGCATAATCGTGATTTTTAACTGATGTATTTTTACAGGATTTTGATGATGTATTTAACTGATTCATTAGCCTAAATATATTCAATTTAATTGTGCTACTTATATTTCAATTATCGATTGTCAGACTAATTGTGACGAAATCCTAGTTACTGACAAATATTCTAAATAAATCCACATATTTGGTTATAGTGGGTGACAACATTACCTGAAATTAATTACCCAACAAACAGACAGACAAAACTGGTTTGTAGAGATCTTAGCAAGCAATAACAGCACAAACGTGAGTTGTTCATGGTCACTGCTTGCTGCAGCACGAATTGTCCATAGCCTTAGCAAAAACGGTGTGGCCAAAACTGACTAAATTCTTTATTTTTTCAGTAACTTCCTGTGCACGACGGTAGCTAATTTTTTTACAGTACTTATAAATAGTGAATATCTTTCAATAGAAAAAAAATCGGGACAAATTTCGACCTGAACCGGTTGCAAGTTATGTGTTTGAAATTGATATTTTGTTGTTTTTTTGGGGGAGATGGGCCTCCAGGCAATGCCCACCCTCATGTCTGTCCCCTTACGATCTCGTCTTAGAATCCCTGTTTCTCAACAATATCGCTCCTCTTTGTGATGACCAATATATCAATGGTGGATATTTGTTTTTATAGACTTACTCTGAATCCAAATGGCAAACAGCAGTGAAAACTGCTGAAATGTCATCTCCATTAAGCTGTTATCATTATTTAAAGATGTTTTTTTATGGATTGGTTAGATTTTTTTAAATTCTGGGTGAATATTACTGTTGACACAAGTCTTCTATCATGAACATTGTCAATTGTTACCGATCACATAGTTACTTATTTTGAAGTGGCTTTTTTTTTTTTTTGTAACAAAAGATGGTCATGTAAGACTCCTAAGAAGTTTCATGAGGATGTGAATTGCAGCTTCTAAGGTAGTTCACTTAGTGTGGGATGGACCAAGTCTGACAGCTTGTCAAGAGAAGGGAATTGATGTTTGGAAGTGGAAAATTGGCAAGCTTTGTTAAGTGAGCAAACCTACTAACAAATGAAATTTGTAAACACAGTTTTAACCATTCTGGTTCCCACAGAACACCAAAGAGTGGAAGGTCATCAGTAGACTCCAGAATAAATTGCATTTTAAGTGAAGAAAAATTGCAAGATTGCTCCAATTGCACAACTGTTGCCTGCATGATATCCTAAAATATATTGTTACATTTATATGGGCAGGCCAGTCTCTAGGAGAAAGCCAGAGTTTCCGTGAAGCAAGTATGCAGGGTGATGATTTTCAATTGTTTTGTAAACATATGATGACCATTGAAGGACAAAACGGTCAAAGGGAAGGAAAATATTCACTAAATGAAAAGGAAAAGAAGAGGGTAAATAGTAGAAATGGATGGAGTGGTTTAAGTGCACACAAAAAAGCTTCCAGAATTTTGATTTTCAGAGTAAATAAAAAGATGGTTACAGTTACCTTAATTAATCACAAATAACAAAATGAGACTTCCCATATTCTCTTAATTTTCTTAAGTTACCGCCTATTATTTATGGCCTGTTTTTGCTGAGCATTAGTGATTGCATTTCCTATTTTATGAGATAACTTTCACTGATTATTAAGACTTTTAATCCCAGTGTCCAATGTTTGAACCCCAGGTATACAATTTTAGGTGCATTGCTGTGACATGCATTCTGGGAAAATTATTTTTCATGTTAATTCATTTTTTTATGTCCAGTGGCCCCCACATGGGTTTAAGATTTGAAGTTATTAGTGTGTGTTGTAGATACAAAATTTCTTGTTCATAGAATTTAAGCAAATATCTCATTTTGAATCCAGTGTGGAGCGAGGTGAAAATTAATAATGCCTATATATTGCTGTACGTTGAAGTTTGTGCTACAAATAATTTTAGTATGTTTTTTAAATCTTCTTTATTTTTTACCTATGATAATTTTTTGTGAAAATTTCTCTTTCTTGACAATGGGAAAAGGATGTGTATAGGAAAACTTGCAGAACATGACCTCTTTATATTTTAAAATATTACTTTAAATAATCATGAAATAACATTTTGTGATCAGTTTAGCGTATTGAATTCTGCTTAAAAGCTATTTCCCTTCTTCTGCAGAAGACATAGGTTTGGGATGTACATTTTTTCTCTCCTTATTTTTTTCTTCATTTTTTTTCCACATTCAAACGTTTTTTCTGTTTGTGTGCATTCACTTTTTATAACTCACATAACAATGTGTAATTTCTTGATTACCACAAGAACAAACACTGACTTATCTCAGAGGTAAATCAGATATTAATGTGGGATTGTCTTCAACTGTTTGCTGTGATTGGTAGAATCTAAGAAACCATTTGTTGTTAGTTTGGGTAGCATGCCTTTGGTATTGTAATTTATTACAATTCATATTGAGTTGCATGATATTTTTATCTCCCATCACATTTGAAAGGTAAGATATTATTATTTTTGTCATAATGTCTATAGCTTCTGAGGATGAAGAATGTTCAATAATATGTAATTTTTTGTGATCCTAATTTACCTATTACCAATGTTATCCCTTCCCTACAAAATCATGAGAATAAAACTTGAAGGTAAGAGAGACATCTCCTCTTTAATAGTTCCCTCTAGTGCTCTTTTTTGTAGGTAGCCCTAGCCCTAGCTCAACTCCATTTCAATTTGAAATATTACTTTCATCTGTTTCCATTCATCTTAACATTAAGGGCACACACATTTTGATTCTTGGATTTTTGCCATATCAGATAAAACACTTTCTGGACTTACCTCTCTTGAACTTCCTTGCTGCAGGAAAGCTTTAATTGCTGATTCCAGATTAATTTTGGCTGAATATTGTTTCACTAAAAGTGTAGTATTTTACTTTTTTAAAATCAAAATAGATTATTTTTTTATGATTTGCTTTTATGGAATATGAATGATGCTGAGGAATCAGGAGTACTAGATTAATTATGTAATTAGTATTCAATTTAATCAATCAGTCAATCGTTGTGCTTCTATTATTCTTTATTTCAGTAAATTTGTTTGCCTATTTTCTAGGGTAATTAAGAAAATAAATGTTTAAGATTTTCATTTTCTCTAGAATTTGACATCTGCATTTATGTAATTACATTGCCATTTATTCTTAAATGAATTCTGTAATTTGATTCACAGATACTTCACCCAGATTGTTTGTATTGAGAAAAAGGTATTCACTTAAGTGTCTCAGCTACTGAGAGTGGTTTGTGTGCAGTCTGCAGTCTGGATATTGATGATTTTGTATATACATTTTGATACTAGTTCCTAGTTAGATACTATTGAAGAAGAAGAAGAAGTCTCCCACTCATTTGAAACTTATAGATCATCACATATATTGAAAATTTAAAAACTGCTGCATCTCAGAGATAAGCAACTCCTGCCAACTGATACTGCATACAAGAACAAGACCTTTGGTCGGCTTAAAATGCATTCTATCTAACCTAATATTAATTATTATCTATCTCTTGAAATACTGGTCTATCCTTGGTCCTGTCATGAGCATTCTCTCCTTTTTTCTACAAAGTCATGTAGCCCCAGATTGCATCTATAGCTATGTTTTTCTTAACATACTGTAACAACATTATTTAGGCAAATTCTAAATATTAATATTATACAGATATCAAATGTGAATCAATACATTTTAATGAAATAATAAAACTATAATATAAATGATTGTACGGATTGCTCATTCATACTTCTTTAATTGTATGGTTCTAAAATGGTAGTTTATGTATATAATGTAGTTGTACACACTTTATTTTTCAGTGCTTAGAAGAGTTAGCCAACATGTTATTAACATGCAGAAATTATAAATTAGTATTTTTTTTTTTTTTAAACTCTCACTTTGAAGGGCAAGGAATCATTTTTCTAAAATTGAATTTGTTGTTTCTAACGGTTTATTCCAGTTATTTGGTTTGTTCCAGATACAAGAGAAAATATAATTTCTTACTACAGATCTAGATGAACTGTTTTAATAATATTTTTGTTTCTAAACTCCTCTCACTTGCAAAATGGATATTTGTATATTTTATGTGTATTGTATTTTTTCTTAATGCTTTTGTATTAGTGAGTGTCAAATTCCTGATAACTTTTTTCACAAATGCATATCACAGGAAGGTAAATTATGGAAGATGATGAGACGATTTATTAAGTTGCATTTATTCAATAATTAAAAACTGACATTTATTGGGTTTTATTTCATCAGTGGTAAATTATGTGCAGTTTATATGGACTGAAAATGGATATCTTGAACTACAAATTGTTTCCTCTTGAAATATACAAATTGATAACAAAAAATAATTAAATGAAATATGTCTTAAATCAAATTTGTCTCCTCACACTCATTTTCTTGATAATTTACAGACCTTGAAATAATTGATGTGTTTTAATTAATTTGTAATCCTGTAAAAGTGATGGAAGTATTGCCTCCTTCACTTCCAATGCTTTACCTGATTGTTTTGATGGTTTTGAAGAATATTCTTGTGATATGCATATTGTTTGTAAATGTATAGATTTTCACTTATGTTACATACTTGCTTTCGGATTCTGCAGGTGATAAACGACCTGGTGATCAGCAAGAAATTGCAAATAAAAGGATGAAAAATTCATCGGGTAAGTGAGCAGAAAGGATTTTTTTATGGAATAAAAAAATGTCCATGTTATTTAGTATATTTTTCTTTATCAATATAAAGAGAAGAATACCAAAGAAAATTAAATTGCTGCCTCATGTAGAACTCTATTAATCTTCCCCGAATGCAATATGCTTTTGTGCATGGTGGCTTAGTTAAATGTGCAGTCACCCTGTGGTATCACCTTCCCCTTGCCATAGAGAAGCTGTATTGAACAAATAATAATACTAATAATAATTTATTTCAATTCTTTGATAGTACAAGTACCATTTTAAGCCATGTTGTGAATTGAGTTTAACAAACTATTGACTAATACAAATTTTAACTATTTTAATATAACAAATACATTTTCTCGTAAAATAGGATGACTAAGATGTTACAAAATAACGTTTAAAACTATTAGTGCACAAATAATTACATTGAATATAAAAAATACACACATTGTCACATACAATGCAGTTCATATACATACAATTTTTTTTATATATAATACAAAGTTTCATATTTATATTTATCCATACACTTGCACATATAGATTTGGCGTAGTACAGTTCATTATTTTTCTTAATTCTGTGCAATCCACAATATTCTACGTGTCAGATAGTGTGTTTTTTTATGACTTATCTAAAGAATACAATGCTTTTTTATTAAGTATTTCTTTAGTTCTTTTTTGAATTTGAAATTGCTTAGATTTTTTATTGCATTTGTCAATTTGTTGAAAAATTTTACTCCTGAACGATAAGGTTTTCTGTGTGTTCTTTTGAGTCTTGTACTCACAATGTGTTTATTATTCTTATTTCTGGTATTATAGTTATGTATTTCTTTATTTTCTAGTGCATTTCCACTTGACCTCATTGAAAGTATGGTATTGTATATGTATAGCCATGTACATTAGTTAGGAAATTCCCTTCTTGGAATTTATCTCTGCAACTTTCTGTTATTTTCATGTTATATATTGTTCTAATTGTTTGTTTCTGCAAAGTGAATATTCTAGATTTATATGTTTTGAGTGTACCACCCCACATATTAATTCCATACAGAATATGAGAATACATTATTCCATAATAGATTGCTTTTAGTTCCCTTTCTCCTAGTATTTTACTAAATTTTCGTAATACAAAAATTCCTGAGCCCAGTTTATTATACACTCTGTCGATATGACCCTCCCAGGATAAAGTAGTGTCCATCTCCACTCCCAGGAATTTGAACATCTGTACATTTGCTATAGATTCATTTTGTATATTTATTGTAATGGATTATTTGTCTCGAGGATTGTGTGTGAACATAACTATATTTGTTTTGTTATCATTAACATTTAAACCAATTTCATTGAACAGTTTTTAATAGGCAGCTTTTAGTTAATTTGTTCAATTCATCTGGTGATTAGTGCCAACATAGAAATGTTGTTTTACCTGCATACATTGTAAGTTTTGTGTTATTGGTTGAAAATTATTGACATACACTATTTACAAGAATGGGCCTAGCACTGATCCTTGTGGAACTCCACCATGCATTGTAATTGTATTTGATCTGCATCTTTTTATGTTATTTTCTAAGTAGATCATTTCTGTAGATTGTTGGCAGTCAGTCAGAAATGATTTTAGATTTTGGGCAATTCCCCTTATTCCATATTTTTCTAGTTTGTCTAAGAGTATGGTATGATTTACTTTATCAAATGCTTTGGACATATCCATAAATACTCCACTAACCTTCAATCCATCATTAAGTTTGGTTAGAATAGTATTGTACCAATCTGTGATTGCAGTGATGGTTGAGCATCTTTTTCTAAAACCATGCTGATATTCTGACAAAGTGAGTTTCTCTCGAAATATCTTATCTAATATCTTACTAAATGTTGATATAAGTGATATTGGCCTATAATTTGATGCCATGTTTGTCTCACCATTTTTAAATAGAGATTTAATTATTGTAAATTTTAAGATGTCTGGAAATATTCCATCTTCAAGTACAGAGTTAATTAAATGTTCCAATGGAAATATTACTGAATTAAAACATTTTTTTAGTGCCACAATTGATATCCCATCCCACCCTGCTGATTTTTTGTTTGGTAATTTCATTATGATATTTTCTATCTCTTTAGCTGTTGTTGGATGCAAGAACATGGAATTTTTAAGTGTGCTATGTGTTGTTGTGTTTTCTACACTTATTCTGTTGTTGTAATTTGGTTGTGTTATTGATGAAAAGTAACAATTAAAGATTTCATTTACTTTATATGGATCTGTTACTGTGACTCCCTCTTTGTTCTTTAGTTGTATGTGTGTTATTCCATTCCTGGATTTGTGCCCGTTAATTTTCCACACTGCATCTTTCTTATCTTTAAATACTACTTTCTGGTATTTTTCTCTTAATTCTTTATATTTAAGGTGATACATTTGTAATTTTGTTTCTCTATGAAATTTGTGCCTGGTCATCATTTCGCTTTAACAGTTTATTTGCTGGGATAAAAGAACTTTGTCATTTTTGCAATTTGTATACTTATATTTCACTGTGCATGTGCAGTTGAAAATCATTAGAAATACATCCATAAATGAGTTCCATTTGTCATTACAATTTTCTATATTTCTTGGGAATGTCCAGTCTTGTGCTTCTAAAAGTTGACCTAGTTTATGTATGTTCATGTCTGTCATTGATCTTGTGATTTGTTTTGTGTTATTGCTTTGTTTTTGGTGTTTTGCTTCATGTCCAATATATATAACATAATGATCTGAAATGTGCTTATTCAGTTCACCTGCTGCGCTCTCCTCATCTAAATTTGTAATTATGTTGTCTATTAAAGTGGAAGAGTGAAATGTTTCCCTGGTTGGTGTTTTTATTGCAAACGGTAGTTCAAATGAAGTTACTAAATCTCTAAAAGTACAAGTAGCAAAACCATTATCTGCAATGTTATATTAAAGTCTCCCAGGATAATTATTGTAGGTGATGTATATTTGAATAAGTGCACCAGCAGCTTTTCAAAATTATTAAAGGAGCTCATAAAGTTTTAATTTGCCACTTTACTTTAAATTACTTACATTATTTTAATTATTTAAATTACTTACATTATTTTAATTATTTAAATTACTTTAATAACTTTAAAATGCCCTGATGAATTTCTTAAATATATTGCTACTAAATCTTTAAAAGGACAAGTAGCAAAACCATTATCTGCAATGTTTATATTAATATCTCCCAGGATTAATTATTGTAGTAGATAATGTATATTTGAATAAGTGCACCAGCAACTTTTCAAAATTATTAAAGAAGCTCATCAAGTTTTAATTTGGGGGTCAGTATACACCAACCACAATAATTTTTTTTGCTCCAATACTGCTCACTGCAGCTATCTCAAAATCTTTTTCCATGCAGAGCTGTCTTGTATTTTCTACTTTAAAATGCTCTGACGAATTTCTTAAATATATTGCTACACCTTCACCCTTATGAAGTTTTGTACAAAAATGGTCTATTAATTTATAATTTTTGAGAGAGTATTTTGAATTTCATTTTCTTCTAGACCATGCTTTGCACAATGAACATTTGTGGCTGAGTATCATTTAATGCAGTTTCTAATATCTCTGTTTTGTTATTGATGTACTGAACATTTTGGTGAATAATTTGAAAAGTGGGTTTTGTTGTTGCTATTTCATTATTTTGCCAATGAACTTCAGGGTTAATTAGTTTCCCTGACCCTGAGTAGCTGGTGTTTTCAAGTATCAATTTATTTAGTATTATCTTTTCCTGAATAATTTGCAAAATCTCTTTCCCAAGACACTTGCCCCAATATATTCATGTGCGTGCCATGACATGTAAATATGCCTGTATCCATTTTGCTTAGATCTAAAAATACTACATGTATGATACGTTGAGCACAGAGATTTCAGCTTAATATTAGTTCTCCTAATTTCTTTGTTCAGGCAGGAGTCAAACAAGAGATCGTGTCTATGAGGAATTGTTGCTACTATAATATTTTGATTATTGTTTGTATTTAAAAATTGTTTAAAACCCGACAAACAGTTTTTGGCTTCATTGCAGTAAACATCATTTGCTCCTGCAATACACTGAATAATCTTGAGTTGTTCCATTAAGTGGACCTACCCCAATAATGTTATTTGTTCGTGCACCTGGTTTTATAATCTCTATTACTTTAAAGTTTCCATTTACCTCCTGTTGGATGACAATGATCTTCCATGGCTATCACCATACACTGTCAGTTTTGGCCTACTATCTTGTGGTCATGTTTTATGGCAACCCTTGGTGCACTCGTCTGGCTGCTCTCCTCTTGGTGGCAATGGTTTGCTGGATGCATTCATCCCGTCTTCATTACACAAAGCTGTCAATTTGTTGGTCAGTTGCAGTTCAGACAGTCTTTTTACACTTGCCCACTGGCTTCCCTTTTTCACCCTGTTCCGATTTTGTTGATCGTAATACACTACTTGCACATCTGTGGTGTCTTCATGGTACCCATGTGGGCGTGATCGCAATAGCGAGTTCTCATCTTTTAATTTGCTGAGGTGTTTTTTTAGTGTAGAGATTACTTGTTGCAGGCTTGCTACGAATTCTCTTAATTTACGTAACTTGATTGATGACCAAGAATGCATTTATAACAATATTTTTTTTATCTTCTTTGTCAAAAAAATCATACATTACAAGTATCATATTACAAAGGTTAATTATAAATTAGTATTATATTATGAATTTATTATTACACATACGATTACATTGAAACTAGCAGAATCCGAATGATAACATCATACAAAACGAAGAGATGGCAAGTTACAACAGAAAAGTACTACATATGCACAATGTGGAAAGTTAAAACTCGCAAAGATATTGTTTCATATTATTCTCTACTTATTCTTCAATACTAATGAAATAAGGTTTACAAATTCTGGAACAAAACAATCCATAATTATATATCAAATCTGTGTGAATTTTAATTTAAACATTAAATTGTACAAGGTACATTAAAAATTTTAACTCATGAAATTTTATGTATTTATTATACAATGGAATGTTAATAACTGATAAAAATGTACTGTAACTTTATAGCTCTGAAGATTCTCACACGCTCAAAACATCGAGAATAAAGAAAACATAAAACTCAGCACACATGTATTAATGGTAATCTGTATAAATATTGACCTTTATGAAATAAATTATTGGACAAAAGTATTTGATGTTATTAAAATTTAGTGTTTATACTAAGAAAATGGTGGAAAATGACAACAATAATGCATTTGGGGCCCACTACATTTAATTTAAAACCAAATTCATAAAATTTGCTTCAGTAGGGAACTGGTTAGAAAGGGGATTGGTTAGAAAGAAATTGATAAAGAAGCAAATTACTGCTGTTTTCTTAATCACCCACCATTAGAATCAACAATAGAGCAAGGGGGAAATGAAACATTCAACAAAAAAAAATGAATGTTTTTCCCCTGTGTAGTGCACTAAATCTTTACGTAAACACTTATGTGTTTGTGCACTAGCTCTGGATGACTTTTGCACAAGGGTACGACCAAGCACCGAAGTAGAGAACTCAATTCTATTAACAAGGGCAAATCAAACTACTCCCAAGGAAACATAGATAAATTTACTTCTCCCATAAGTTCATAAATCGTGGATGAGGTGTTCAAGGCAACAAATACAAATATAATAATTAAACTTGTTAATAAACATTCTTCTAAATTATTACAATACAGTTTCTCACAGTAAATTCTGAAGAAAAAAAGTCATGGATAGCAAAGGAATCAAAATATCATGTGAAAGGAAGCACATAAATCTCTTCAACAATAATTTACATTTATAATTGTCTGAAACAGTCATTCACAATGAAAGTAGTTCCGATTTCATTGCTTATTACACAACATACAAAAGTATTTTGATGAAAGAAGTTAAACAAGCAAAAATAGTCAACACATGGCCAAGGCACAAATCAAAATAAAAGCAATTTGGGAAATAATACTTTCAAAACAGATAACAAATATAAAAAGTATTGAACTTTTCTACAATAATGTTCAACCCACATGAATTAACATTTACATTAAAAATTTCTCAGGAATTGGAGTAAAATGAATCCATCATAACTCTTTAAATAACAAATATGCAATAATTTCACATCAGTAGGCATCATTGATGGTCACACACTTATCAAAATTTGAAATATTGGGAATGAGAGACATTACAAGTCTAATTATGTTTCAAATTGTTGTAAACAGCTAAAATATAGCATGTTAAAGATTAAAAGATTTTGAGATATTTTCCCCAATTTAGAATAATAAATTGTAGGATACTGCAAAGATCCTAGGTCCTATTTCTTATTTACATCTACAGAATGTCTCTGACAAAACAAGTACACAAAAAAATTACACGGAACACAAACAATTCTAGAGGCACCAGTACAATTGTTCCGAGAAATTTTTATAAAAAAAAGTAAAACTGTATCCCCTCGCTTCGGGAATACACTCTAAAGAAAAGCCACCAACACAATTGGTCATCAAAATCTTGCCAGAAATTATAACCTGAGAAACCACTTTCTTTGGACTCACTATTCACTATGATCTAAAATGAAGCTCTCATATTATAGGGCCTAAATAATAAGCTCACCAATCATGCAAACCAAATACATCTGTAAGTCAAATTCTAACTTAGGAGTGTTATAACAATACTTTGTAAATGTTTATTCACATCTAAAATAAGTTATTTACTGGTGAAATTCCCCAGAAAGTTTACACACTTTCTTAATTTCAAACATGAATATTGAGAAAAATAATACACCCTTGAATGCATGAGTCTTACAAACCACCATCATCATCAACACACACGGTTTAAGAACAGTGTTTCTGCTGTACAACATCAATATTGAAGTTGGAGATTTAATTGTTAATGCAAAGTTTTTTAATAATAGATCTTTAAATCCTTGCAAGTACAGTAATTTCAAAATATTAGTAGTTCTCCCATAATTTTGATTTATATTGATTATTTTTTTAAGAGATGGCTGAAATGTAGCACAATACAAGGTGTGTTATTATATTATGTAGCCATTTCCAAAGTAAGTTCTGTTGTTGCACACTACTTTTATTGTATTTTGTGTTAATGAATCAATAACTTGACTTAATTTTTCCAGGTTACAATGATGAGTCCTCAGAGAGAGAGCATGAACGAGAAGATGGGGATGCAGGCCATCCTGCATCCAGCCTCGGAGGCAACAGGAACAGTACTACTGAGTTCAGGGGTGGTCCTGCAGGTCGCGACCGGCCCTCTTTCAATCATTATTCATCAAAACCTCAACTGTACAACGCAAGCCTTCCATTCCACATGCATGGCATGAACATGTACCCTCCACCACCTCCACCCCCACCCCCCAACAGTTGCAGGCAGCACCACCACAGCAACGTCTACTGCAGCCACCATCCACCCCACCACACTCCGCAGCAACCACCACCAGCACCAGCACCAACACCAGCACCACCACAGACCCATACCTAACCTCGCCTCACGCCCAGCCAGCCTCACCCACACCCCAGCCCACCTCAGCCCCAGCCCAACCTCAGCCCAGCCCCAACCTCAGCCCCACCAGTACCCATACTACAGCTCCCAAGGCCAGTACCAGTACAACCCTTACTGGATGATGCCACAGTGAACAATCCCTTCCTAGGGACTAGCAGATAAAGCTCTCCAGTGGATCAAAGTAGCCTTCAGGCATAAACATTGTTACTGCATTCACAAAAGTCACTGATAATTGTTATGCCTGATGACCTAGAGTTGAACTGAATATGACTTTGGACTCAACTGGTAAACCAGAGTGGAGGGTAGTGTTTGTGTGAAAGGTGATTATGAAATGAAATTTATAATATCTTCTTTGTATCAAAGTTGGGTCAGATATTGTTTGTTTGTGATAGGAACTACTGTGTGGACTAGTAGTAAGTTGCTCTTTAATTGAAGAAGTCTTCTGAGTTAATGTCACTTCAAATTGTTTTGCGTGATGAAGATCTAGTCTATGAACAAATATGTGAAATATTTGTTGTAATGAAGGGAACATTTATTAATTGTGATTATACTTTTATATATTTGTTGTTCAAATGTGCATTTCTATTATGAAGGAAAGTTTAACCTTCAATGAGAAAACATTCGTATAAGAGTATTACAAAATGCTCCATTGTGACAATCTATTTTATGCTTTCTCTCTAAAGGTTTTACAACCAATGAATTATGTTTGCATATTATTGAGTGGGTAGTGTGCTCATTTTATTTAAAAGAAAACATATTTATAGTCATCAATGTTTGCTTAAGTTTCAATGAGTTTGTAAGTACAAAATGAATAATTTTCTAAGTACTATTTGAAAATTCACATTGTTTTGAATTTTTACCAACAATAATACTTTTTGATTGTTACACAATGACACCATTAGACACCATGTTCTTTGGAAATGAACAGAATTGCAAGTCTGGCTAGATAGTATTAGTGGTAATAAGTTGGGATATTCTTGCAAGTCATACACTTCTCCAATTCATCTATCATTCTTTATTCTAGAACTTCAGTATTTAAGTTGTTTGAAAGTTTTTGACAAATTGTCCTGTTTTAATTATTTTTTTTCTATCCTTGATGAATGAAAGCACTAGAAATACCTTGTGTGTAAAAACAAATGTGCAAGTCTCGCAAGCATTACCATTATTTTATCTCATTGCAATTTATGTGTTCTTTCAGATAATTTGTAAATAATGTAAATAATATGTTATATTGTGTGCTCAGTCTCTGATGCTCATGTTGTTGAGTGAGATCTGTTGTGAAATAAAATTTAACGTTCAAATTCAAAATGATTATTATTTAAGATGTAATTGTGGGTCACCATATGAAAGAAACCTCATATCAATAGCTATTTTGTCATATCATTACTTACTTACATCAGTGTTCAGACAATATGAATTTCCTAAAAATATTGAACAAATTTCATGGAAAATTAATGCTTACATTACTCTTAAGGGGTAACTTTGTTTACTCCACAAATTTTATAGATTTTATGATTCTCTAATTCATTTACAAATTTTGCTGTCTTGTATAGTTGTATCTTAGTTAACTGTCTGATAATTTTAATTAAAAAATAACAAGTTTTTTACCAGTCTCATGTAGTCTGGTATAATAGGCCAGATTACCATTATATAAGGTCTTTTCAAAGATCATTACTATCAGGTCTTTTCTTCATGCATTGTTTACAGATTGCATCATCATCATCCGAGAACTAGTTTACATCTTTTCCAATTTATTGAAAATGTTTACAATAAAATACTACTCTGAATTCATGTTCCTGCAGTTAAAAGGCGTGACTAGACATTTCTGTCATTAAAATGAAATTTTGTCAACAATTTAAGAAAACCTTTTTAAATAATCAAATTGATTGATTTATTATTGAAGGAAATATAAAACTTTTGCAATGTTTCAAACAAATTGTTCATAAGAAAATTGCATAAAACAAGTTTTCTTTAAGAAAATTTTTGAATAGCTATAGAGGTAGATTCCCTCAAAAACCTTATTTTTTTAAAAACTTTAAACAAGCCTTGTGATTTTGTTCGGAAGAGTATAACATTTTTTTTGCAAATTTTTCTTCATCGTATTCATAGAAGAGAAAAGTAGTAGTAAAAAAACCCTTATCAAGATTTAATAGAAATAAATGTTTTGGGGGTCCTTCATGCAAAAATGTATTTTTAAAACGTCTGTGAACAATTCTTAGCTCATCAACCATACATAAGATTTTAACCAAAATGAATATTCCTTGAATGATCTAGCCCAACTTGAAGCCCTGTGAATTTGAAACTAATCTTTTAACTTTGGGAGTACTTTCCATAATTCAGGTGGTTAGAGTGAGATACATTTTATGTTTAACATGCCTCTTATTGTATTAATCAAAAGGAGAATTGTTGTTCTATGTCCTGGTGGAGTTCACAGTCTAGTTTTTGTGTAATGAAGCCATAAATTTTCTAATTTTATCATGGGCTGTTATGGTGAGCTGACTTGAAATTTTAAAATTGTGAGAAAACTTAACTGTTGAAAATGTTTTTAAAAACTCTTCCTTAGGTAGCTAGCATTGCAAAGAATCAATATGCACAATTTGAAGGACATTTACCACTTTAAATGGAAGAACTTTGCAATATTATAAGTCTAAATCTGTCCAAAGGGAGACGTTCATGCTTTCGAGAGGTTGGGACAGTAACATGCCACTCAGCAACACCGTACGCCTAGCGCGCTTCATTCAAATCAAGTGACAAGTTTCTAAACAAGAGTTCTTATGCCCTCATTCCTAGAAAATCTTATCTTTAGTAACTTGAGATATTCAACAAAGCTGAGATGTGGTGGATGTAATAATTTGTACAATTTGAATGAAAAACGCAATTCAATTAATATTCCAAATGAATCACTTTGACACTACTCTCTACGAGTAAATGAGTGATCTTTAGTTTATAGACTTTTTATACCTTCAGTACAGTATTATTCTTTTGTATAATAATAATATATTTGTCACATAAATACAGCATATGCCATGTATGACAAATCAGGATATGTATACAATCATACAATACACAATATAGATATTTCTAAAAATTAAATACAAGGCAAATTAAAATTAAAATTCAATTCTCGTTTTAAATACAATATCATGGAATGCTAATTAATTTTATAGATGGTAGTGTAAGAAGACTTAAGTTATAAAAAAATCAATAATAATTTTTAAAAATTCTTCATAGATTCGTGCCTAGGCTGGATCTGTTCTTTATATCCAACAACCAGTTTAGGGGGGTTTGAAAACATGCAAAAAGTATTAGTATTAGTTTTTATTGATGTAGATACATGGTTATGATGCATATATTCTTTTGTACTGTAGAATGAATGGTTTAACAGGAAAGCTTTCAGTTTATTTTTGAATGTGTGTATCAAGTTTAAGCTTTTAAATTTGTTAGGAGGTTTATTATATAGTATAATGCCTTCTATAAGGGTACTTTTTTGAAAGAGTGAAGTTTCACTGTGTGGAACATGTTAATTTCCCCAGAATATTAGTCCATATATACGAGTGAACATTTGCAAAGTAGCAAAGTACACCATTTCGCAGTGTATCTAATTTAGAATTTGACTTTAGGATGTATACGGCATAACAAGTCTTGGAAAGCTTGTTTACATATGTGCCGTATGTATGCTTTTTGTATTTCATTATTTATGTTTTGTGCCGTATGTATACTTTTGGACTTTTGCTCCAGAACTGATTACCTATTTATTTGATTATTCAAATGATAAATTATTTGTAAATTATTCGTGTTGTCTTTTATTATGCGAGATACATAGTGGATTGTCATTGCCTTCTACAACGCAGTTGCAAGATTCCTTACACGGGATTCAGCAACCTTTAGCTTAGGTCAGCAACTCGATATACTTTTTAGTGTCATCAAAAGTGTTGAAATGAAAAAAAAATACTTTTTTGCAGGTGTTAACCATTCCAGGTATAGGTAAATGTAGAGCTGGATTTCACTACTAGCAAAATAAGAAGGATCGGGACTCTCATCTCCGTACTCAGACTTTTTAAATAAATATTCTTAAAACTTCATAAAATGTTTTTATCTGAATAATAATCATTAATCAAATAGTTTATCAAACTTCAATGTTTGAATTTAAAAATAAATTGATTAGAACAATAAGAACTTAACATATATTTGTAAATGAGTAAATAAAAATGAAATTTCTTCTTTGTAAGCAATTTTTTCTTTTTCCATCAGTATTTGTACAAGGATTTATTCTATCATAATTAGTATTTTTTTATTTAATCAAAGATTATTTTTGAATGAGTGCCCAATACAATTGGGCCCTTCGAAGCCCACAGTATCGAAATCCAGCCATGAGCAAATGAATTTGAAATTCTAAGTGAAATGATAAATTCAGTCAAAGACTTTTCGCTCTACTCAAATGAGGAAATTCTGGCCATTATTAGCATATGTTACTTTTTATAATTCTTCTCTTGCTAATTGTGTAATAACGCTTTTTTATAATCAATCTTATGCATCAATTTTTCATTCCTTGGCCACACAATCTGTTGGTACTAGTTAAGAAACTAGTCAACAATAGGTCTTTATGTGGTATTGAAATATTTTTTTTTCCATTTATGAAACTAAATTCATTCATATAATTAAATAAAACTCATCATCAGAAGAGTCCCTATTCTGTTAAGTAGGTCTCACAATACACACTTATCTCACAAATAAATATTTTTGAATGTAATATGGACTCTCTATCTACTAGAGAATATCTCGCTCTAACCACCTTCAATAGAGCAAAATATGCTTATAAAAATGACACAGGTCCAATTTTCATTAAAACCTCTGAAATTTTGGGCTCAAATAATGCACTGACTACTTTAAAAGTAAACTAATACATGACAAGTTGCCTGTATTTTCAATATATTTAAAGAGGCAAGTTTATCTCATCCTCATTAGTGATTAAATTAATAGAGAGCATAATATTTGTTCTATTCTATGTACAAGACATGCAAATTGGTAAAATTAACACTTATCCCAAACACATGGCCGAGTCATATAATTATTATTGTAGAAGCAGCAGCTGCTGAAGTCAAATATGCATTAACCCATTACCAACCAATGCCCCATTCTTGGGACGCTTTTTTGTAATTAAAGTCTTGAATTTAACTACATGGAAAATTTTGTAATTTTGTGAAACAATAGAAGATATATATTTATAACAGGCAATGTAATGGTTTTTTATAAGGAAATGTTAGTTTATGTAAATTTTTTTTAAAACTTAGAGAATATTTGGTTTCCATGTTGGTAAAATTCAAATGTTTGAGAGACACTGAGGTGGGAGTAAGTGCTTGTAAATGGCTTGGCTTATTTGTGTTAAATATAAACATACACTCTATTGTTGATTTCAACTGATTCTTGGTTTGATGTAAGTTGCAGAGAGCGAAATGTATTGCGTCCCATTTTGGGGACATGGGCCAGATGTAGTTAGCTTACCCACAATACACCATGCTGTCATACAAGAAACATAATTTATTTTACACAGAGCATAAATGCATATTGCTGGGTGATTTTAGGACATA